TCCAGCATCGTTCCAAAGCAAGTTACCTGTTACTGCTTTCAACAGCAGCTCTTAGCATATCAGGAGGAAGTTACGGACATGTCGGTGTATCAATTTTTCATTTCGCAAATTGTTTAGATTATAGCCATATACAGTGCTTTTGAGATAACCCCATAGCCAAAAGTCACAGAGGTTGAGGTCTGGTGGGAAGCAGGGAAGTGTCGGCCTATAAGATGTTCATTCGAGTAATGTTGCCTTAGTAACTGTGCGACACATGTGAGGTGGGGTCCAGCTCTGCATAAAAATCCTAGTATCTAAAATGCCATATTACTGCAGTTTACATATCAAGAAACATTTTAACATTGACTCTAAGCGAGCTGCAATCACAGTGGTCCAGCAGTCGACTGCTCTTCAGAGAAAAATGGTTCAGTTATGAAACTAGCTCTCTATCCACTCCAAACGGTATGGAATGACTGCTATGCAATGGAATGTAGTAGGAGAATGTAATGGAATTAGGTATTTAACATAAGGGGTTTCTTTGGCCCAAATCAATTACAAGCATTTTGAATCAGTATCTTCATGTTTTAGGGCCGAATTCAGTCTTAAAAAATTACAAATTAGCGATCTGTAAGAAAACGATTTCCAGACTGTAGGCACTTGTGTGAGTTTTCACGGATGAATTTCTCACTTACACGGATGGCGCACTCGACTTTTATCGATTTTAATGTCTTTAAATGGTAATTTGCGTACTTCAAAGTTTCTTAAGGGTATACAACATATTAAATCCGTGTAACAAAAGGTTAAGTTAGATTCTGACCCATATTTCGTTTAACAATATTGCATACAACGCCATTTCCCCCCCGGTGGTGAGGTTTCGAACTTTCTTTTTTTTTGCGGAAAATAAATTCCCATGACCTCCTTTACACGGTTATCAAGTTTGATAACATTTGATCCAGTAGTTTTCCTTTTATGACCATTTCAAAGTGGACCTTTAATTACAACCACCCTGTATATTATCAAATTTTAATTTGAAGCTATACGTTGTATGTATACCTTGCGTAAGATTTCGCTTTTATGGAAAAAATAAATCAAAGCAAATATACTTAGAATAATGGACCAAAACTGAAAAAATTTTCCCTCCTTCCAAAAATAAAATATTGAGACTTCGACCTTGAATTTATTGGATTATCGAAATATTCAATTTGACTTATCTTCTAAGTCCTAGTTCCGATAACAATTCTGTAAAAAATTCCGAATTACTGAAGCTGAAGTAAAAGGTTTAGTATATATTCACTGTATGTTAATAAAGTAATGAGAGTGCAATAAAAATAGATTATAGAATTTACACTGATGCAACTTTTTGTCTGAATGCACAACATGTAATGGAAGAGAAGGCTTGTAGAGATCTGTTTTTGACATGCTTCTAAAAGTAGATGTCATACTCCTTTTGTCTCTTCAGTGTCAAAAAACTTTCCTTTGAGAGGCAACTTTATTTTTTGGGAAAGAAAAAAATCACAAGACAAATTTGCAAGAACATGCAAGGACCACTTGAGTACACATACTTTATTTTTGGAACACAAGCGGATTCTCCGATTGGTTTATTGAATAATGAAAAGATGCATTGTCATGCAATACAAAACATTTGGAATACGTTTTCTAACTGAATAACGTAAGATTAAAAGCCATCTGCTTAATTCACAGCCATTTACAAGTCAATACTCGGGAAATTGCAGAATTGTTTTGATACCTGAGCTTGTAAGACAAACGTAATATCAGTGGATTTAAACACTTCTCTAATCTTCCGAGAACATTCCTTCTTTAGCTCATATTCCAAGAATATTAAGTGAATACAATTATTGCAAAAGAAATTGAATATTCATTTGCACTACGGCTTAGTAGTTTATTAACGAGTTAACAAAACTTAAATTCCGCTTTTTGTGTCTAAGAATACAACAATATTTTAAATATTTACTAATAAAATATTAAATTGGAGATTTAATTGGAGCCTCACCTGTTGCCTAGCATTTGAAGATTGTTAAGTACTAATTGTTTGTTTCGAAGTCTAACCCAGGGTGCATGGTTGGTTTTCGTAGTTTTCTAGGTTCTCTTTACAAAGGTCCTCTGTGAAAGCATCTTAACCGAATAGCTCCCATGTTCTTTCTATGTTCAAATAACCAACTAACCTAGTTTAATCGCGATTTCCAAGTGAAGTTACTAGCAAAACCCGAATACTCATTAAAAATCATGTAGCTTGGCAGTCGGGAGTAACATGAAAGATATGGCGCCAATAATTGAACTGCTGTTACAGTACGCTGTTTCTAAACTTAGATGGTCATTCCTTAATTAAATATAATTGATTTGTTATTTATTTAGATTTATTGACTTCTAATAGAGCTGACAGTAAGAATTGAAGGGAAAATAAATAATATCATGTGCAATCTTGATTAATATAATATTAGAAACATTTACATTCAGATAGAAAGTTTTTTGAAATATTTGCAATTGCTTTATAAGAAGGATTTATTAATAACCGTAATAATTACTTATTATATTACTGACGATTAGAATTCAGTTCTTGACAATTACATTCTAAATTAGAATTTTAAGGATATAATGAAAATACGCTATGCAGAAAAATACATTTTACGATAAAAAAATGAGTCGATTTTTTATGTTTAAAAACTTCTTAAATTCATTTAATTTCTTGTTAAATTCACTAAATTTCCCTCGTTGGTAATTAAATCCAGAATGTTGGGTGTCATTTATGTAATTATTCTTACTTGTCCACAGAACCTGCTGACTTATCTAGCCATTAAGTTAAGTAGCTGCGGATCATTTCTACATAACCATTGAACTTCCATTAATTCGGTCTCTAGAGGGTTGTATGTATATATCATAATTTGACTTTTATAGAAATGACTATTCTAAATCTTATGTTTCTATAAAAATACGGAGGATAGTATTAGCTGCTCTTTCAGCCGCTTCATAAGCAACAGCTTGTTTAGAAATAAATTATGCAGTTAATATCATAAAATGTTTTCGTAAAATTCAAATAAACATCAAACCAAAGTTTTAGACAATTCAATTTAAATGCACTTAAAGTAAAGTAGCAGACAATAACATGGTAAAGGTAAAAATTTACTAAAAACACAAATATTTTTTAAAAAAGGAAGAAATTGAAAAGAAAGTTAAAATTTTGAATAATATCCATAATTTTAAGAAAGTAGCTTTTCATATAGTATTAATAAATATTTATTACGAATCTTTGAGGGAAAAAATTTCATATAATTAGTTCTCCGTAAAACTTTATTTGAAATTTAAGGTTAAAAATAGCTGTGGCAATTCACTATAACAAAAAATCCATAAACCACATTTGGCGTTAGAAAAAAAAAGATGCCAAATTTCAAAACGCGAAAATATGTAAATTTGTGTATATCTTAGAAAATTTTGAATAATAAAACTCTAATTTTTTGTAGATATGCTTAGCTTGGATAACTACACCTACTTTAAGATGGTGGTAAAATTTTATGGGTTATAATTCAAAATTTTTTTTCAAAAAATTTATAAAAATTATTTAAAAATACAAATTTTAAAAATAAATCATAAAAAATGGGTGAATTTTATTTGGAATGAACCTAAATTTCGAAACGAGAAAGGAAAAATCAAAAAAGTTTAATAAAAAAAGAGATATTAATAAATATATATCAAATGTAATTAACGTTAAGGAGCTAAAATTTTGAGAGCTAATTTTTTTAAAAACTACTCATACGATTTTTACAAAATTTTGCAGACTGGCATAATTACGGAAAAAAATTGGTATGTTATTTCAGAAAAAGTGTGATTTTGTGTCAAAATACCTATGTTAGAATAGTGCCATATATAAATCTAATACATATCCTAAGTCACGCTTTCAAGACATGAAAAACACAATATGAATTTTGCCAATCGGCCAGTAGAACGGAAGATATAGAACTGTTTTTTTTTTTTTCCCCCCCTTCTTCTTCTTCTTCTTTTTTTTTTTTGAGCAGTATATGTACATTGACGTTTTGTGCCGTAACTTGAAATTCAGTGTACCCAAACGTGGCTTAGGAACATCATTTGTGTTTCAACAAGGCAATGATCCTAAACATACAGCGAACCTCACACCTGGGAGTAGTTACTCTATAATGCTTCTTGCCAGTTAAAGACACCGCCTCAATCACCTGATATAAATCTAATGAAAAATTAATGAAAATTTATTGAACCTACAAGTCAGGAAACATAAAATTTTGTGTAAAGATGAACTTAAGCTTATATTCCTGCAAGAATGGCACAAAATTCCTAATAGTACAACGAAGACTTTTTCCAATAGTACAATGGTTTTCTCTATGAGAAATAGATTATAACATAAATATATCGTTATAAATGCAAATGATGTGAATACAAAGTATTAAATTTTGTTCCCACATTTTTGCTGTATGATTTTGCCAATACTTTTTTGAACATGCAAATTTATGCTTTTATTGTATATTTTGTGTAAAAAGTATATTAAAATGAAAGTGTCATTAGATTTGTACGTTTGTTACCTTCTGCATTCTTTATGCCCAGCTAAAATTGTCAAGTATTTCCTTTATTAGCTAATATGATAAATTTTAGGCAATTGCCAATACTTTTTTTTTAACCCACTGTATATTGAGACAAATGTGGTTCTATGAAATTTATGATTTTGATGCAAAATTCATTTTACTTTTTACCATTTCATGAAATATAAATAGCACTTATATGTCTTGTATATATCCTGTATGTCAAAAATTATTGCTTGCTTTACTTTATCAAGCATTTCTGTCTTTTCTTTTTGTACCCTTCCTTTCTTGACTTTTTTTTTTTTTTTTTTTTTTTTTTTTAAATTTTCTTATTCTGTGAATACCACTAATTTGTGATATATATTTCCAAATAATCAAATTTCTCATAGCGATAAAGTTTGATTTCACTTGACTGAGCCATGTAATCTATTAATTAGTATTTCACTTATATATATATATATGTTTAATTTTCTTTTAGATCAAGTATTTGATAGCGAGAAAAGCAATGAAGAAGTTTATTCTGAATTTTGTTCACCTATAGTTGAATCTGTGATAGGTGGTTTCAATGGTAAGTTTCATTCTATAGTAAAATTTTAGTATAATAAAGCATGTATCTGCAATGATATATTTTATTATTTAATCTTTAATTAAAGCAAAAAATTCAGCTAAAGTAATCCTTTTAGTAGCCATTTAATCATTTTGAATAGTAGTGTTAATGGATCTTTAGAAATTTATTATGCTTGTTTTACAGTTTGTGGCAACCATTTGCAGTAATAAAATTAATCTTATTTTCATTTGTGAAGGAGATTTTGTGATTATTTAAAAGAATATATTCTTACTTTTATCCATATTTTATCTAATTTATTGAAAACTCTCTCTGTAAATAATGTTATCAAGACCTACTCAAAGTTAGCATTTTCATGGCAAAATGTTTTTTGCTGACAGTATTAAATTTAATTCTAATATATCTGTTGATAAAAAAAATCTTGCTGCCAGTTATGCAGTTCTATAAATTTTTACTTTTTTTTTCTGTTACATAAATTAATTTTCTTATTATATTTCACATCCCGAACATGAATCTGCACTTCATTTGGTTATTTAAGAAGTTACAGCAAAATTCATGTTACATTTTAAGCAATGTTCGTTCTTATTTTAAGATATTGTTCTTATTTTGTAGCTGTGAGGTCAATAATTTAGCTGTTATATTTTGGGAATGCTATTAGGCCATTTAGTTTAGCCTATATTATTTTATGTAGTTCACTTGTAACTAATGACAGAGCAAAGTCTGTATCTTAAGATATAGAGAGCTGTCATGTATCATATTCAGTGTTATGTAGCTAAGCTGAAACATTCTTGAAGAATAGATTTGAGTACACCATGCATGTGTCCAATTGATTATATTGTTGTGTGTTTCTTGATTAATGTGATCAAGATATTTTGCTGTACATTTATTTACATTTATCTACAAGCCTTATGCCACCTGGCATGTTTACAAGCCTTATGCCTCCTGGCATGTACATGATACACATAATCTGCCATCTGGCAAATGCAATGCATTATATCATTAGCAGTAATACGCCCAACACCTTGGCGTATCCGTTTCCTTAATGCTCTATAATGTGACTAACTCTTTGTGCGGTGCGCCCTCTGCATACAAATTGCCACAATCACTGAGGAAGCCAAAATACACACCAAAGGTGTTTTTTTTTTTTTTTTTTTTTTTTTTTTTGTGCGTATATTACAGATAGGTGGATCTAAACAGAAATAGCAGTCTGTTGAATAATCAGTAGGTTCTTGCCATATCACGGGCACTACAAACTTCATGTGTCGATCTTTACCATATGCTCACGCTATAAGAGTAGAACATATGTAAGGAGCCCAAAGCCAGCCTGTTTTCCAACTTTTCATCTAAAGCACAAGCTTTTCATGTTTCCAGAGTAACAGCAATTTTATTAGATTTAAATGTAACTTTCTTACATATGTGGTAAAAACTACACATATGTAACATGAATTTATTTAGCACATTAACACAAAAGTTTTAATATGTATACAATGCAAAAATCCTTTATATGGAACAGTGTTATTCATTAGATATTTTTAGTTTTCTTTTTGAGGATATATATATTTTTTATGTAGGCTACTCTGGATATCTTCTCTGTCCAATATTTTAGGAAATTTTGTTTTGAAAAGAATAGTTTGCCGTCTCAAAAAGAATTCCAAAAAATTGTTCCTGATGAAAAGATACCTGTACCTGATTGTCTTTGAAATCAATAAAGTTCTTGACTAAATCTACACTAAACAAAAGGTTGATGCTTTGCTAATTTTATATTTTACTTTGGTCTATTTCTCTTTTGTTTTGAATGATACAGCACAAAGCAAGGTTGGCACATGTGCATTTGCATAGGATATGTGTCAGGCTTTGCTAACTATTAAGCTCCTGTCTCAGTTTTTACAGAGAACACCTTGAAGAGCTGCCTGAGGGTCTACCACACCTCCTTCCCTACCACCAACCTTTCAAGGATTTTCATCTCACCATGTATTATGAGTGCCCTCTTGCCACACAGACACCACTTATCCATGCCTTCTAAATCTGTATAATATAATGTGTAAAAACACTGTCCATTTAAATGATAGCTTTGATTTAAAATGTTGTATTACCACTTTATTTCTGGTAAGTATTCTCTCCTTCTTTAAAATATTAATCTCCAAGTCTTTACCTGGTTAGTATAAATTGCAGGTTAAAAAATTTAGTGAATTCTCAATATTTGTGACTGCCTCACGAGTTTTGCCTTTTTTTCTCATAATAAAATTACTACTTATCTGTATTACTTACACTTAATCCATATTTGGTGCATGCGTGTTAATGCAACAACCTCATTAAAAGTTACCAATTTTCAAAATGTTCTAAATTCTGGCAACCATGCACATAACCATTCTTCCGGCAACCATATTCGTAACAGTTCTTCATTAAGCAATGCCTTCATTTTCCTTTGCATTCTTTTTTGTTGTATTCCTTCTTCCAGCAACTATATTCGTAACAGTTCTTCATTAAGCAATGCCTTCATTTTCCTTTGCATTCTTTTTTGTTATATTCCAACTTGCAATGGCTTTTATAAACAAATCATGATATTTTTTGCCTTGGTTTTAAAATATGGGCTTGTGAAATTTTCGAGCAATAGGAGAAACTGCAGTAAAATTTATGCTGGAATACAGAATTTTACTGAAAATTTTCTGAAAAGAATAACAAGGAAATATGCTTCCTAGATAGTCACTGTCACTGGGAATTGCACAAAGCTCAGTCTCTGCAATTCTCTGATATTTTTTGAGGTAAAAAAAATTGGGTTTTTGTTCTGTTTGGGAGAAGAATCTGGAACACTTGTTGAAAAAATTACAAAAAGATTTGAAGAAGAATGTGCTATGTTTTTTTAATATATTGCATAATCTCCTTATTTAATAATTTAAATTTCTAAAGTATGTTTTCTTTTTGTATGTTGATAATGTTTACTAACGTATGATACATATCTATCATTTCGGAATCTTCCCACCCCCCCGAAAAAAAAAAAGAAAACCAACAACTTTTACCTTTTATCTTTACATCTGTATAAAATGCCCAATTATGCCAAGGTGGTTGCACTAATACATAAGTACTTCAGATTTATACGCCACTGGTCACTGTCTGTAAGTTTCTAGCATGGCTAAGCTAGTATAGTAGATAGTGACACTGACTGCCATACCAATGGTCCCAATTATATAATGATATTATTGAGTATAGCTTATGTGATTTCTTAGGTCCAGCTAATATGATATGAAGAACCAATGCAGATGAACTGCATTTACTGCTTTTAAATCACTGATAAATCTTGTTCTTCACCGAATGATAAGCTTGCTTTTAAATTTCTCAGTCTATTAATTAAAATTTCATATATTTAAAATATTAAATAAGTAATAAAAAAGATTCAAAATATGGGATTTAAGTTGCATATTTGAATGGATAACTGCATGAGTTCGAAATTTGTTGCTTCTAGGTGTACTGTTTTGCCTGAAGGAACATGCATATATACCGGGTGGCCATAATTAAACTGACAGTGCTCACAGTGTTCTGTAGCGCGATCTATTTGCGAGAATGACGCCACATTTTGTAGGAAGATTAAACAAGATGGGGGACGAAGGATTCCGTGAAAAAACAAATTAGTTCCAAAAGTTACCGCTAGGGGAATATTTGGCGCTGTGTAATAGAAAATAGAGTGTTAACAAATGCAAATCAATATAGAAATTACCTTTTATTTTGCCTTCAAATGAGGTTCAATGTGGCTGCCATTGTTGTTGACCACATATTGCATTCTGTGCACAGTATGCACAACAGCAGAAAGTAACATGTCTACAGAAATCTCCTGTACAGTCCGTGATATGTTATCCTTCAACGTAGCCAGGTCCTGGACCACTCCTTGAAAGAACTTGGACTTAAGGTAACCCCATAGCCAGAAGTCACCTGGGGTAAGATCAGGCGACTGAGGTAGGTCATGCAGTTGCAAAGTAGTGGCTAATGACTCTTTCTGTTGTGATTTCTGTCGTAGCATTTGTTGCACCCGTACCACAATGTGTGGAGGGTCCATCTTGCATGAAAATGATTTCCCCCAGGCATTGTCTTTGCTAAAGTGCCGGAATGACAAATCTGTTCAACATGTGGCGATATTTCTCTCCAGTAACAGAACAGCCTGTCAGGGTAATGTTCTCATAGAAGAATGGACCTACGATAAATTCTGCTGTGAACCCACACCAAACAGTTACCTTTGGTGAATGTAAGGGAATTGCTGTGACTGCATGTGGTGATTTGTCATCCCAAATTTGGCAGTTCTGGGTATTCACAGTTGCATTCAGGTAAAAGTGGGCCTCGTCTCCCTATAAGATGTTCCACGGCCAAGCATCATCCACCTCCATTCTGGAAAGAAAGGTGAGAGCAAAAGTCAATCGCTTACCATGGTCGGGGTACAGCAACTCCTGTACATGGTTGATCTTGTACGGATAGAAGCTGATAACCTTTCGTAAGATTTTCCGTACCGCATTGTAAGGCATATCCATATTCCGAGCTACTCCACGAGCGCTAGAGGTGGCAGCAATATTGTCTGGTCCTCTGCCAACAAACGCCATGGCAACTGCTTCAATTGTATCCTGTGGTACAGGTTTTCGTCCTCTGCCTGACTGAACCTTCAGAGAACCTGTTTTCTCAAACGTCACAACCATTGCTTTTAGCCCATTAACTGACACAGGACCATTACCTTTATGCATTTTTTTGTATGTTCTGAAAGCAAGAAGAGCGGCTGACGAGTTGCACTGGTTGAGGTAAAAGAATTTGACCAGTAACGCACGCTGGACTAAAGAAGGAGCATTGCACATAAACTTTCAATCCGATTGATTCGAAATGTAACACATTGCCTTTTAAAACCCAAGCAGCTGGCACTGTGTGAATGGATGTAATGGGAAATTTGAATAAAGAACTTCCTCTTCTGCTCAGCGTACATGATATTGCAGATCACGAGACTTATCGGTGTTTATGTAGATTTTATGCTTTTTTAAAAGTGTTGCCATATTGCACTTGAACTAAATCAGAAAATGTGCATAATAAAAGATAATTTTATTCCGTATTAATTTGCATTTGTTAACACTCTATTTTCTATTACACAGTGCCAAATATTCCCCTAGTGGTGACTTTTGGAACTAATTTGTTTTTTCGCGGAATCCTTCGTCCCCCGTCTTGTTTAATTTTCCTACAAAATGTAGCGTCATTCTCGCAAATAGATAACACTACAGAATACTGTGAGCACTGTCAGTTTAATTTTGGCCACCTGGTATATATATATATATATATATGCATGTTCCTTCAGGCAAAACAGTACACCTAGAAGCACCAAATTTCGAACTCGTGCAGTCCTCCATTCAAATATGCGACTCAAATCCCATATTTTGAATCTTTTTTTATTATTTATTTAATATTTTAAATTGATGAAATTTTAATTAATAGACTGAGAAATTTAAAAGCAAGCTTATCATTCGGTGAAGGACAAGATAGTTATATATATATGTCATAATAAAAGCAAAAGGAAAAGATGGAACACTGTAGATGCTTAATTAGATCCATATTGAAGAAAATTTTGATTGCGTAGTATGCTAGTAATGCTAACTTGGTAATATCTAAAGAACTTGGCAGTCGAGGCAGTTTTAATTCCATTTTTATTTGCAACTGATATTTGTGGCCACAATCACTTGGTACTCTAGTTGTGCCTTTCCACAATAGATTTACATTTTTGATATTGTTGAGATAGAAAGCAAGCCAGCGAAATTACATCTTAGCACAGTAGAGAGCAAAAGCTGAAGTATGTAGTTATGCAAAATGGAAGCACGCGAAGAGAACAGTTTTTGTTTGCAATTTGGTGATTCACTTCTTTCACGTTATCTTGGATTTATCACAAAACGATGATTTGAAGAGCTGAACAAAATTTTCCATTGAAGTTTCAGGCTGCAGGAAACTATCCTACCGGCTTAATTGTCATAATAAAAGCAAAAGGAAAAGACGGAACACTGTAGATGCTTAATTAGATCCACATTGAAGAAAATTTTGATTGTGTAGTGTGCTAGTAATGCTAACTTGGTAATATCTAAAGAACTTGGCAGTCGAGGCAGTTTTAATTCCATTTTTATTTGCAACTGATATTTGTGGCCACAATCACTTGGCACTCTAGTCGTGCCTTTCCACAAATAGATTTACACTTTTGATATTATCGAGATAGAAAGCAAGCCAGCGAAATTACATCTTAGCACAGTAGAGAGCAAAAGCTGAAGTGCGTAGTTATTGCAAAATGGAAGCACGCGAAGAGAACAGTTTTTGTTTGCAATTTGGTGATTCACTTCTTTCACGTTATCTTGGATTTATCACAAAACGATGATTTGAAGAGCTGTGAAAACATTACAGTTGTAAAAATGTATGAATCAGAATTATAATATAACTATAAACATTAATTCTTCCTCTCTATTCTAAAATCGTAATAACTTATCTGCATTGCGTCATTCAAATTAATCATGCGATCTTACGTAACCGTTAATACCAGATGCCTCTTGATGACCAATCACCGAATTGCAAACAAAAACTTTCCTCTTCGCGTGCTTCCATCCTTCATAACTACACACTTCAGCTTTTGCTCTCTACTGTGCTAAGATGTAATTTCGCTGGCTTGCTTTCTATCCCAACAATATCAAAAATGTAAATCTTCTGTGGAAAGGCACGACTAGAGTGCCAAGGGATTGTGGCCACAAATATCAATTGGAAATAAAAATGGAATTAAAAATCACTTCTACTGCTAAGTTTTATTTATGAAGTCAACACATTAGCTTACGACACAATCAGATTACTTCCTCTTCAATATAGGATAACTACACATCTACAGTGCTCCATCTTTTCCTTTGCTTTTAATATGACATATAAATATGTATATATATATATATACACACACACACATATACATATATATACACACATATATGTATAGAGAGATAGATACATAATTATTTAATAATAATTCTAGCATTTAAGTAGGATATTCAAATTACTGATCAGATGGCTTTATTAACTTTATTATTATTTTTTATAGGCACAATATTTGCTTATGGCCAGACATCATCTGGAAAGACATATACTCTTACTGGTGATGATGAAAAGGATATTCGAGGAATTATTCATTATACGATATATGATATTTTTAATACTATTCAAAATGTAAGTATTAATAATGTTTTTTAATGATCATGGTATTCTTTGACTACTTTCAGTTACAAATTATTGAAAACGTATTGTCGTAAGTTTGTGTAATTGAAATTATGGTACTTTCTGATTATCCACACCACACTGTAAAGTCATAGAAAAATATTTGCAAAGTATATTGCCAAAATAGCTATGTGGCAACCAATGGTGTTGTCAAAACGTATTTATGGGGCAATCCAATTATGTGCGTAAAACACGTTTTGGCAAGCATGAAATTCAGATGTTGTTCAGATGCCAATTTTATGCAACTTTATGATGTTTTTTAAGCATAACAGATCACTGTGTACGTGGGTAGAATAACAGTGCAAATTAAAGAGGGATTTTTTGAATTACCGAGGTTTCTTGCAGTTTTTAATTTTGATTGATTCAAGGAATTTTTCGTCTAGAATTCTTGGGCTGCCATTTTGAAAAATTATTTTCAGCAAGTTTGATGAATGTTCTCCAAAATCAGAAACAAGTTCATAAATTTTTGATGAAGGTGTGTATATTCAGAAAGTACTTGTTTTTAATTATCTGAATCAGACATGCATATATAAAGTTTCTGATCAGATTATAAAGAGTTTTCAAATCATTCCAAAACACACTTAAAAAAATCTTATGGTGTCGCATTTTTAAACAAGAATTGTTTGCAAGCAAAGACTGCATTTTAGTCATTATTTTTTATATTTTATTTTGTTATTGTATACTACAGAAATCAGTACATGATTTTCAAATTATATTCTGTATTTCTCAAAGTTTGTAAAATAAAGCTAATTTTATTTTCCATGTAAATATTATTGTTTTTCATAAATGACATATATACTCCTGTAATAATATATCTTAAACAATATTTAAATAAATTTAGTATTATATATTTATATTTGTATTATTTATATATTTAGATGCCTGAACGGGAATTCCTTCTGAGAGTATCAGTCATGGAAATTTATAATGAACATGTTTTTTGATTTGTTATCTGAGAAAAGTGAAAACTTAAAGCTACATGAAGATCTTGGCGTTAGTTACATTTTTTTTAGTTTTTCAAAAAAAAAATGATTATGCTATCATAACAATACAAAGATTTTTTTCAAAATGATTTTTGGTCCTTAAAAGTCCTTAATTTTGGCTCCTTAATTTTGCTCATTTGACATTTCTTATCATTTCTAATGATTGCCATTCTAAGTGTGAATTACGATTTCTCATGAATATGGAATTAAAATTACACAGGCTCTTAACTAATCTGTTGGCGGATTTGCATTGCAAACGAAAAAAAAAAAAAAAAAAAAAAAAAAATTAGCTACCCGAACGAAAGTATCGGTGTCTGATTGGCTATTCACGCAATCTTTCGAAACAGGTGTTATCCATAAATTTAGGCAGACTGTGACGAAAGCGTGAAGCTGGAAGTTCTTTAAGAGGCGAAAGTGATGATGAAGGTGCTCGAGAAAAAAAAAGGGAGGGGGGATTCTGAAAATATTTGCCAAAATTAGAGCAATTCCAACCTGGAAGGCCACAACCCTTCCGACGCCAATAGGAACGAGATGCCTGGAAAGTGCATTTTCAATAAACTGTGGCTTCATCAAGCTGACTACAAAGACTGGATATTGATGGATGGCAATCCTTAAATAAATGTGGTCTTTGTCTGAAACAAATTGAAATTTCTAGAATGGGAGAGTCAGCACTGAAAATTCACATTAAAATTAAGTTTCGTTTTATCATTTCAATTTGTTTTTACACGGTTTTGCTTAGCTTAATTTCTGTGTTTGTTTCAATTAAGCCATAAATTAATTTTTTATCACCTTCTACGGAGTTTATTCTCTTTTGCACATACTATATGTATGGGATATCGGGATTATGAGTTTATTTCTGCAGAGGGTCTGTTATCGATTTCGCGGGAAATCTGTTGGCTCCATTTCGATTTTAGGTCGCCAAGGGCAAATTCGGTAACGCTAGCTGAGAAAAAGTGAAGTTCGGAAATACGTTTTGAAGCTTCAATAGACTTAGATTTGGTTTTTAATTTTTCTTTTTCAAAAATTAAAATTTTTATTGAAATTTTGTAACTATCCTATAACTAATAATAAAAAATCTTAAAATATGTTATTAGAAACAATAAACAAAAGGAAGATTAATAAATTAAAAAGAAAATAACCAATAAGCGGAATGGTTGCTACACGGGGAAAATGCGTTCATGATATTGTCAATAAATCATTCTTCTGGTAATTTTAGTGGTATTTATACATAACGGAATCTCTGCAGAAATGCTTGCCAGAATATTTCACGATGTCGCAATTTTTTATCGATACAGGATATTTTTTAAATGTTAAAATATAATGTGTAGTAAAAATTCATACATTTTTGTTTAACCCTTTCAGGACGGGCGTCCCATATACGCATTCCCTAAGAAAGTCTCTTACAGCCGGGCGTCCCATCCACGCATCAGTAAAGATCGCATTCAGAGGACGGGTGATGCGTATACACATTTTAAGGTGGAACATTTTTCTGAAGGCCACTAGATGGCATCCTGTGTCCATTACTTTTGAAATGAACACAGTTTTAGGTTCCTGACCTTGAGTTTGATATATTCTGCTTGACTTTAGCATTTTACTCATCAGTTGTTCAAGGGTGGGGTGGGGGGCGGAGGGAAAGCGTAAACAGAGGTGGGCTCTTTAAATCGCTGAGTGCAAATGAAAACATTCTTGTATCTGATTTATATCCAATTCTTTTTTTTTTTTTTATTCTATTTTTTCCTCTACTATGTACGGTCTTTTAGAGTTACTGTGCGGAGTTTTTTTACGTTTTGCATTGCCTTCAGATATTTCAGATATATTTCCGTTCCTTCTTTTTTTATTTAGGAAATCCTCACCTCCAGTCTATTATGGCAGCAAGGCGCTTTTTATCAGAGGAAGAATACCCTCGTATGGTTGGTGAACCATTTAACTAATGCAAATGAGAGTACTGATTCATTTTCTAAAGAGTTAAAAAGTGATACTTTTTCTAAGAGTTACAAAGCGATACTTTTCTGTGCTTCGAGATTTACCATACTCGTTTTCATTTTAAATTTTGTTACTTCTTACTGTAAATAGTCTTTCTTGTGTTCTTTTTATTAATTTAAAACTTTATTGATGGATTTTATCAATTAAAACTTTGGAATAATTTAAATAGCGCTTCCGAAAATTATTTTAGAAGATAAGCAATTTTTTAAGTATATTTTCATGTAAAATAAAGAAAAAAATGTTTTAAGGGCTAATTTTAACATATATAAGAGCTCAAGTAAAAATCTAAAATGATACCAAAAATTACGATGCTAGAAGCAAAACTTTTGTTTTTCTGATTTTTGTTATAAAATTAGATGCAAAACCGAAAACTTAGCAATGCAAAACCTCCTTCCTGTAAGGTGACTGCCTTCAATTCTCTTCCGTCCCGCACGAGCGTCTTAAACAAAGGTGCGCCGTTGCGAAAAAATTAACAATCAAACCAATTATTGCCGAATTTTGATCTTTGGGCCATTATCTGATAGATAAAGAAATAATGCTTTAATTAAAATTTTCCTTCAGAATCCCTAATAACATTCACCAAGTTTAGCGATTAAAAAAAAAAAGCTGCTCTTGATACTGATGCATTATTTTTGCTAATGGTGTTACAATTATTAGTTGAAAACAACTAATTTTTGGATATTTTTAAAACTGAAAACAACTAATTGAAACTAATTTTTCTGAATGAACTAGACATAAAATTAACATGAATTACTAAAGTTATTGGATAGAAGTTTAATTGAAAATATACATTCCTTATTATATATACAGTACAAAGTCTTTAATCCGGACGTCCATAATCCGGAATGATCTATAATCTGGACCTCAAAGCTACAAACTTTCTGCGCATGTGTAAACGCATAATGCATTTACGCATGCGCATAATACCTTTATGCATGTGCATAATACGTTTACGCATGCACGTTTAATGTATAATGGATGGTATAAGCTAGGCTAAAATTATCTAATTATCTATTTCAGTTAATGTTGCAGATTGCATTTTTCCTTAATCTTCTAATTGGATGCGGCTTATTATTTTTTTGCAGACTGTCAGAGCAATTTTATAAAAAGTAAGCTTGAACTTTCGATTATGTCAAAAAGAGTTTCCGATTCTGGAGCTGCTAAAGGATCTACAAAGTGAAAGCATGTTTCGATGTCAATCAAGCAAAAGTGGAATTGCTGCAAAAAATGGATAAAGGCATATCCTTTGTTTCTCTAACCATTCTGAAATCTGTTTATCAATTTCACGCTGCTCTGGACGGGGGGGGGGATGGTTCGCGGCGCGCAATGAACTGGAAGTTGATCTGTCAGCACTATCCTTATCTTCAGGGTAAATGTTTTTATTTTATTCAACTTATAATTCTGTACTGAATGCAGTAAATGTTTCATATGTACTAAATGTTTCATCTAATGCATCTAATTTCATCTAATATTCCATACTAAATTTTTCATCTCGATGTACTCCATTTTTGATATGATTTAAATTAAATTACACGTCATTATAAATATCATAAATACACATCAAATAGTTTTCTGGTTGCAATTTTCTAATTTCGACTATGCGTAATGTATGCTCTACACATGCGCGCGCTGAAGAAATGTTTAATAAAGTAAACAAATAAATATTAAGCTTTTTTTTTTTGTAAATTTTGATACCCTTTAGATCATAATTGCTCTTTATTTCATAAATTATGGTTTCATATTTTTAATTTCATAATTTTTGCATGCCATCTTACCAGATTTAAATTGATGATCTATAATCCAGAAAACCCCTAATCCGGAATTGCCGAAGTCCCGATGAGTCCAGATTACATATTTTGTACTGTATATACAGTACAAAGTCTGAAATCCGGACTCGATGGGACCTCGGTGATCCCAGATTTGAGATTTTTCCGGATATTAGATCATTTTAAATCTACTAAATTGTCACATATAAATTATAAAATTAAAAATATGAAATCCTGATTTAATGAAAATAAATCAGGATTTCATTTTTAATTTTATAATAATAATAATGATTAAATAAGGAAGTATTTACGATTTAAAGGGTATCAAAATTTACAAAAAAAAAAAAAAAGAGCTTAATATTTATATGTTCACTTTATTAAACATTTCTTTCAATGTAAGTTGTATAAGTTGATTTGTTTTCTGTGCTAATACTTTATCTTTAATTCAATAGACATATAATTTCTTGTTCAGTTATTAAGTTCCATTGTTCAATTCCTGTAATTGCTGTGTTGAGAATTCCGAATAACTTGTCAATCAAAATTTTTCTCTTTCAATAACCTCTGTGTCATTTTCTTCACTATTGGTAGTATTTTCTGGATCTAGAACCATACTACAGATTTCGCCGTCCGTTAATTGAATGGTAGTTGGGGCATTGTCATCACAATGAAAAAGTTCTGTTTAACTTCTTTAAATTCTACCGGCTGGTGCAGCCATGCAAGCTCTGGCGCTGGTTCTGGCTTTATGTGAATAACAAATCAGTTATTCTTAATTCAAATAGCACTAAATATAATCTTTTGCCCTATGAGTATCATTAACAAAATCTATTTTTAGCATAAGGAAATTTCTGTTAAATCTCTCCTCATCAACATTTTAGTCCATTTAACTTAAATCTGTAATTGGGTAATTAGCATCCGAAGTTACAGATGCAGAAATATTGTGTGCATCAAAAGCAACTATTCTTTTAAATTGTGCGATGATATTGGGCCGTTATTCACTAAAATGTTCCCGGATAGTTCCATTGCAAAACAGTTTTCATGTGGTGAAAAAGAAATGTGCTTATATCTGTCATTTTGGCCTTGGCCCTTATTTTAAAACTTTGTTATTAAAGCATTGTAAAGATGCTAAATTTTTTACATTACTACTTGATGATGAGACTCTTAATCTGACCTCTTAATCAAAGAAGAAGCAACTAGATATTCATGTGAGGTACTGGCATCACGAAAATAAGGTCAGAACTCAGTACCTTACTTCTGC